TTCGTTATACTTTTGTATTTGGCATAACCTCATTCATACTCGTATTGTCCATTGCCAGAGACTCATTTCAACAAAATAGGTTTTCTCGAAGGTCTTCCCTTTTTTATTTCTTTTGAGTTTATTACCGATATGAATTCTGCCGACATTCGCGTCATTTTCTTATATGAGTACAAACTTGGTAATAGTGCTGCAAAAGCTGCACGCAACATAAACCAAGCGTTTGGGGAGAATACGGTTAACAATCGGAAAGTGCAGCGTTGGTTCGAAAAATTTCGGACTGGCGATTTTTCACTGCAAAATGAGCCGCGCGGAAGACCCAAAACGTCTGTGAATAATGATGACCTGAAGGCTCTAGTGGAAGCGGATCCAGCCGTATCCACGAGGGAACTTGCTATCAGGATGAAAGTTGACCATACAACGATATTGAGACACCAAATTGTACTCCCATCGCTTGTGAATCGGCATGGCCCGCTACTGCTCCATGACAACGCTCGGCCGCACACATCGCACAAAACAATTGCGAAACTGAACGAACTGGAATATGAAGTTTTGCAGCATCCACCATATTCACCGGATCTCTCGCCGACCGATTTTCATTTTTTCAAGCATTTAGAGCTGTTTTTAAGAGGCAAACACCATGAAAATGAAGACAGTCTAAAAAACTCGATATCAGAGTTTATTAATTCTAAAGACCAAAATTTTTTTAAGACAGGCATCTACGCTTTAAAATCTCGTTGGGAGAAGTGTATTGAAGCGAATGGAGCATACTTTGATTGAATAAACAGCTTTTGAAGAAAGATATACAGTTTTATACAATCACTTAAGAATCCGACATTTCATATGCACCAACCTAATAGCTTTGCTGTCTCTTCTATTACACCATGTAGACAATACAAGACACGTTTATATCAATCGACGAAATGATGTACACTGAGAAACTCGTTTAGTTGAAGAAACTAAATTCTAGTTTGACTATGGGCAAACAAATTTTTTGGTTATATGAAGGTTTGATTGTCTAAACCGAAGGTTTGGCTCTCCGAAGTTTCAGAGGTTGAGTATTAATAAGGGAAATAAAAAATAAATAATATTATATATTTCTTTATTTACTAATATTGTATGTATATTTGTCTTAATTTTGCGCTTAAAATTAACATGTTTTATTTAGTTAAATAAAGTCATAGGAAAATCTTATCTTTTAATAAATAATAAATTTAAGAAGAGACCTCTTAATATCATTACTGAAAATGGTGATATTACGGCACTCTACAAACCAACTATCTTAAAGCAGCTTCTCTTTAAAGAAAAGCAATAAATTCCTAGTCGGGAATGTGAACATGAATTTAATATTGTGCGATCTAGCTAATAATTTTCGTTGCAGCGCCTAAATTCAATCGGCTAATAAATTTAGCTGCAGTAGCAAACGTAGTAGCAACGGCAGTAGCTATTCCTAATTCAGTGACACATTTTAGCTGCCTCACAGTTTAATTTGAGAATTTTCCTATTGCTAATTCTTTCTCAGAGTGCGAAGCACTCCGTTTCGGTGACTTTGCGGCATCGAACTATAGGATGAAAATGGAGTGCACTGCGTGATAACACTATTAAGTAATTACGGTGCGGTTTACCGCCATTCCTCCGAGTAAATCTCCGAGATGTTCGCGAAAAGTCCTGATTGTCTAGTAATAGTTATTATGTTGACAACTTGGTCGTGGTACACAGTTGCAGTGTACCGTTAAGACCATTTTTTTACCCAGTCCAAAACAAGGTTACGTGTACTCTTCTTCTCAGGAACCTCTTGATTGGACCTATTCAGTCAATCGTTCTCGAGATAATCGGGGGGCTTTATGCGTTTGTGTTTCTTCTCACGTAAGTTACGCTCATCAGGCGGATATTTTTATCTGTTTTATCGGCAAAAAGAACACGTGAGTGTGGAAAAGTTTAAAGAACTATTCGGGAAAATATAGTTATATATGATTATATATAATTATAGAAAATCATATATGAATTTTGCCTATATATGTGATTGTATACATGATCATATATGTCTATACGAAAAAAATTATGTTATGCCATTTAATTAAATGTCGATATCGCGTGTTGTCAGAAGCACAAGTAACCAGAAGCATTTACTTCGATTGTATATATTTTGTAAACAACAGTATTTTTCCGTTGTGGACATATATGATTATGTATGGTCATATATGGACAAATTTCACGTATGATCTTTTTTTCTCGGGTATAAATTTCGGACGAAAGAATTATAAATGCGTAACCGATTACGTCGATTGTATGCAATTGAATTTGTCGAGAGTTGAAGTTGAAGACTTGTCTGGAAAAATATGAAGGAAAGGAAAATTGAAAAAAAGAAGAAGTCAGTTTTGATCTCGATAATTATTGGATTGGTGCAAAAGTTCGTTCCGTTCTTTAATCTAAATATACGTACAATACTTATTTATTTTAAGATACAATCAATTAATTAAATATGTGCCGTTTTGATGACCCGTCATTTCCCCAATATTATATGGGCTAGGATTACTGGGCGAAAAAATGATTAACTGATTTTGTTGGGAAAATTAGGCTCTTGGCTTGGAAGTATTCTGTTTGAATGAATCAAGAGTTATTTCATTAACAGAAAGCTCAAAAATTTGTATATTTTCTTCAAAGAAATTCAAAAAGCATCCCTGGGGTTTCTCAGGGTTTCCATTTAGATCTCTTATTGTTCAACCCATTTATTAATGATATTCATAACTTTTTCCAGAATACTAAAACTTACTTTACAAATGATTTCAAGATTTGTCGTTACATTGATAATTATAATCATGTTCTTTTATTACAGAGAATGTGGTACTTCTTAGTAATTGATGTGAAGTAACTGGATTAAATTTTAATATTAGTGTCACGTTTTAAGAGTCTCTCGAAGGAAAGCCCTATTCATTTTTTATTATTATCTTATAGACTCTTCTCTCGTAGCTATTGACACTATCAGGGATTTTGGAATTGGTTCAGTTTTGACTTATCATTCGATTGTCACGTTCATAAAATTGTCATATTGACGTATCAAACCTTGGATTTCTATTAAGATAGGGTAAATATTTTCGGGATACAAATTATTATAGTTTTCTTTAGTTTCTCTAGAATTGGAGTATGGAAGTGTCTTATGACCTTATTCGATTAACCACTCAAGTAACAAGATGACGTTAAATGACGTCTTAATAACGTATTAATGTCTCTAACGTCCCTAATGTCAAGAAGACGTCATTAAAACATCATTTAACGTCACCTTGCTACTTGGACAGTATACTTTGAACGTATTCAACATCACTTTTTGCATTGTTTGAGTTTCAATACAGGATATCCATGTTATATTTCTCTTATGATTATCAATCAATTCAACATGATATGTGCATTTTACCTTCAGAGCACAGAGATATTATTTCTGATATGTTATTTTTATATAATTTACTTAATGACGATATTGATTGCCCTAATATTTTAGCGCTTGTAGGGTTTAATGTCCTTAGTAGGAATCTTTGAAAATGGGCACTTTCTTATCATTCCTATCATAGAACGCTTTATGGAAGGTATAAATCTATTAATCGTTTGAGCTTAACAGCTGATGTATAAACATAGATTTTTTAAAATTTGTCTCTAAGTATGATTGGAAACAGATTAATTCATGTGATTAAATAAATGTTTATTTCTATCTAATTTTACTTATATCTATGTTTCTGTTATATTCAGCCAGTTCTGTTTTTCTAAAATTCTAATATATCACATGTTACAATTTCTGTCTGTCACATATAATTTTTTTATAATTTATATATATTAAAGAGTTTGCTTCCATGCATACAAAAGAATATTTATTGCATTCAACTAAATGTTATACTTGTCTCAAATATTTCATAAGTTCATATATCCGTAAATATATTATAAATATATCATATCCGCAAATGTATAAGTTCATCATAAGCATCAGATTAATTCAAAATATATTTTGAATCCTACTAAGTTTAGTACTTCAATCAAAAATATTAAATTAGAACAAACACCGGTTTGCTTATCCAAATTAATCGAATTGGACTTTTCTCTGATAAAATGCATAATATTCTTAGAAAGAGAATAAATTCTTCCTTTAAGTACGTAATAATAAGCTTCTCTCAAATTTGCGGAAAATATATTTTAAGACCATTACACCAAGAAAAAAGAAACATTCTTTGAAGACAGCTTGCTTAAAAGGAAGAAAATTGAGTAAACATTTTTCTCAGCAGTGGAATGATATTTCTCTGTGTATAAAAGGGGGGACAATTAAATAAAGAAAAAAAAAACAAGAAAACGGAACGAACTTTTGCATCACTCAATCCAGTATTTCCTTTTTCCTTTCCGATATTCGATTTCCGCTCGATTTCCTCGCGATGTCCCGTTCGAAGCGTTACGAATTCCACGCGCGGGTCTGTCGCGCGATCGTACGGCTGACCAAGTTACGCGGGAGCCGCGTGCGCGCGGATCCGCACACTCCCCGGCGTGTCTCTCTCGAGACGCCGCCGCGCGCAGAATGCGGCTGCAATCTCTGCACGGCATTATCTAAGCCATGGACCGTTACCCCCACCGACCTAAATGCACGCCGTATAAATGGTCAGGACACCTTCTAACCACTGTCAGTGAGCTTGCGCGCCTAATCTTGCCTCTCTATACCGTGCATCATCGCGTCGTGAAAGTAGTGCGCGGTATCACGTCGCTCTGTGAACAACACCTTCCTCAACGCCTCTCCGAGTCGTAACAGTATTTATTAAGTACTTATGAGTTATCTCGATTAACTGCGGAATTCTGCCGCTGGAATTCTGCAAAACGGAGAATTCGCTTCCGGTTCTGCGTTTTCGTGCTGTGGTGCGGCGACGTTCCGTACGACGACACGCGATCGACGATGACCCCACGGGACGACCCGGGCGATCTTCAGCGGCGTCTGCGATGAGACAAGGTCGGTTGAAACGATTAACGGCGTGAGATCGAAATTATGAGGCGCGGAAACCGCGACTGGTGGCCTCGCGCAACCGGATGTCCACGAGTGGCGCGATTGACGTGCTGGCTGCTCCTCCTGTCCGTCGTCTGTCCGCGACGATGCCACTCGTTGACTTTCGATAACGTGACGGATCCTTTCGTTCAGAAATGTCAAATGGAGTGTAGCGTGCGGAGAGATTTCGCAACTTGCGGCAAATACAAGGTCGCCAAGTGGTTGAACACGCTGGTGAGGGAGGTGAGTCTTCGATACCGCGAAAATGTCGTTTTGTCAAATTTGCGTGAAAACAGAAGATAATCGAAAAGAAGGAAAATAGATCGTTTCTGTTTTGGACGACATTACCGGTTGTACTGAAAATCACGGATTTAGCCAGGGCGCTTGCTCCCCCCTCCCACCCCCTCCCCTGCGATTTTGGCAAGGAAATAATGAAATTATTATAAATATAATAAAAATAAAGAAATGTAACTGACATGTGTACATTATAATTATTCCATAAAGAAACCACAGTACATGTGTTCTATGATTAAAACCCGGGGGAAGACATTTCTCATATATAATTATATATAGAATATGTTCATGTATACAAAAATATATTATTATATATGATTATTTATAATTACATATATATATATATATATTTCTTTATTATAATTATATTTAATTATTTATAATTATATTATTTATAATTATATTTAATTATATATGTGGAACATTTTTTCCCGGGAAATCAATGACAAAGTATGAGGAATGCTTTATGAAAATGAATGTAATGGAAAATTTTCATTTTTACTACCATTTTTTCGTCAATGCCTGCATTGCTTGCTGCATGATTTTGGCGTTTCAGTTATAGGAATATTCAGGAAACATCTAGTTTCAGACGCGCGTGAAATAAATAATAATAAAGTTCGTGTAGAGGTAAATTTTTGCCTTCTCCTCTCTTCCCCCGACTAAAATCCTGGCTACGTTTATGCCGAAAATTTCAATCGTATTTTCCACACGCGATTTTGGTCTGACTGTGTACTTTCTGCAAACGATCTCGATTCGCGGGGAATTAACATTACGTATTGATTCATGAAGATGTAACTTTTTTTTTTATAACGTAGGAATTTAGTTACGGACCATTTCGAGTAATAAGGATACCGTCGATGCACAAGCAATCCTTCCTGCCTAATTTGCCCCGTTCCCGGGCATTTAAAAGCGGCATAACGGAAGTCTTGAACTTCATTAGAGATAGCGTAGAGGACTTATTGACGAAACGTGCCATTGTGTACACGATAGACAACAACTCTGCGACCGGCAGGGACTTTTCTTCGAGTCTGATGATTGCGGATGACGATGATATCAATAAGTTACAGAATAAGGAAGATGAAGGTAAGAAATCCGGCGGGGAATTAGTAATTAGAACGATGAAGTGTGCAATTAATGAGACAGTGGAAAGGACAAATGAGACAACGATTTTCCGAAACGTGGTGTAATATAAATAATAATTTGGCATTTTTCTTGATTTTCTCGAAATGTCAGTTTTCTCGTGTAAATTCAATATTGTGAATCGCGTTCTGAAGAAACGTTGATTCAATTTTATACTCTCTGGGTCGAACCTCTTTACCTTCCTCTCTCCGTTTTTCCTTTGTCTATGAAGTTTCCACGATAACATCTTCATCGGCTAGCAATAACGAGGGAAAGGTGTACTCTTTACTGTATTTCTGCGCAACGGGACGTTAAAATTCTGACATATCTGTGCGACCACGGTGGTAATTGCGGCCTTTGTACTTTTTATTTCGGATAACGGTCGACGTTACAGGAAACAAGTATCATCACTATGTACACTGTGCAATCTACTACAATATCCTATATATTTGAGAAAAGCGATGAACGCGACGACAGAACAACAGTGTTCACTAACCTCGCGTTTATTATAACGGCAACAAATATTTCGTCGCCGCTGACTGTGTTCCCGCGACAGTGTCCCCAACATTAACCACTGATTTTTGGAGAATCCAAGCTTAACCGGTCAACCCGTTTGTTTTTCTTCTATTACAGGTAATTGGCGAATCTTCAAGAAGAAGAAGACGTCCATCATTCTGCCGGTTCTCATACTGTTGAACTTACTTAAACTGAAGCTGTTGCTGCTGCCGATTTTTCTAGGAGTTCACTTCATCAAGAAGCTTCTCGTGCTTGGATCTTTGATTTTGCCATCCGTGCTGGCACACTTGAAAGTTTGCAAAGTGCATCACGTCCATCCGTATCACGTATGGGGTACCGCCGCGGAAGCGGTCGATTATCCGTCAGGTTAAAACGACAGTTCTTTGATTAAGAGTATTTGATCAAAAATTTAACATATCTTCTATAAGCTTATTATATAATTGAATAATATCCAGAGTTGGGTGATAACTAGTTGCTTAGTTAAAAGTTAAATTAAAAGTTAAAAGTAATTAATCACTTTTCACTTAATTCATTTTGAATAAGTTAACTTTTTACTTAACTGGTTAATTTAAAATGCATTAACTTTAACTTATTAACTTTCTTCATACAAGTTATAATAATTCATGAATAATTCATTAATATTAACATCATTGCTCCGTGTTGTTTACAATATAGAATTAAAAAAATAAAAAATAATGCCAGCAAAGTCACATGTCTCTGATGTTATTTTCTTGTACGCAATTTTGAGCACAACGCAGTCGGTATTTTCTTATAATAGATTACCTTTTTTTTATTTAGCATGGATTTAATCTACGTAGATACATAGAATGTCTCAAAGCAATGTCTACAAATTTCATGAGTATGGATTAAAGTAAACGAAAAAGTCTCCTACCATTTTGCAAACAACACACCAAATTTCGAGTTATTAATTATTGAAAACGACCATAAAGGCTTCTTTAATTAATAACTCAAAACTTTCATTATTTGCAGAATAGTAAAGGACCTTTTTGTTCAGAGTTTTTTGGTCTAATCTACAAGTATGACAATTGTAATCAGCGACAGGTTCAAAGTTCGAGATTAATGGTTTAACATACCAATGTCCGTCATTAGGTACAACAGCTGTTATATATTTATAAATTACGCTACTTGTACATTCGAATACATCAGATCAGATTGTTCATCTCAATCCGCTCTACGCCCTCACGGAAATTTGTGGATGCCATTCTGAGACGCCCTGTATACATGGTTTTGCATAATTGACTATTGATTTTAATAAGTTAATTTTGTAGGCCTTTTAACTTAAGTTGACTTGAGTTAAAAATAAAAATTTGCTTATCTAACTCCGATAATATCGAAGGGCGCAAAGCGCGAAGAGGAGGATCGAACGACCTCTCACCACTGTAATGTACTTTGCTATTTCCAAAAATTGCATCTTCGAAACTTGCAGTAGCCCGTCACGTTAAGTTTTATCTGGTCGGATCGGGTTCCCGCGTATGAAAGAAATTTTCTCCTGCGACAAAAGTAACACGACGGCTTTGTATGATACGGACTATCTAGGCTAGCCTGAGTTCAGCGTCAGTCAGCTGTGACAGCGAGCCAACAGACAGCTCCACGGACTATTACGTGTGACGTATTGATGCTACCGACCGAGGAACATATCTAATGTTTGCCTACGGTGGCGACTAGTAAATACTAGATTCGAAACGTAAACCGTCTTTTGCGCGCACCCAGTTCACGTCGCGTGTTTGTTCCCATCAAAATCCTCGGAATTCCACTCTCGCGCGAAAGAGCGGCTTTTTTGCCAATTCATCTAAAGTGCCGGGAAGCTTTTGCATGCGTGTAACACGCGCTCTTCCGCGTTTTCTGTTGCAGGTTACGCTCAGGACGATAGCACTTGGCACAGAAACGACTATCAGCTGAACTATCCCAGTTTCCAGATATTCCGCAATCCTTACGGGTGAGACGGTAGATCGCGATAAATCATTTTGCCACCGGCGATCTGGACCGATGCTGCGGTGCGCGTGCGACTCATTCGCTTCGCCGAGACGCGTAAGAATCGTCTGTACATTCCGAAAAGCGGTGCGATCGCGACTGAGGCTTATCGAAACGAACATGCATTAAATGCACATGTGCGCGTGAGGAAATCAGCCGGTCATAATCCGTGCGTCGAAAGGATGTACCTTATGTTAAACACGATTGGCCGATTTTCTAACGCATGTACACGGGGAAAATATTAAAGCTCTTTTTCGTTTAGATTCCCCTCGATTTTACCATGTTTCTTTAGTAGCGCAGAAATAGACTGTCAGAGTTTACTTACTAAGGGATATAATAATTTTTTTAAATAGCACGTGGGGAAAAAGGTTTCTTTGGATTTAGTGTACGTGTTTATTTCACTTGGATTTGTTTAGTATAAGCATCATAATTTATTAACATTAAGTATCGTTTTGTTTGATTGAAGTGTGCTCTCATTAGAGTAAAGTATGTTGTTTGACAGAAGAAACAGTTGGAGGAAATAATACTTTCTTTCCGATGAAAAAAAATTTTACTTCAACTATATATTAAATATTATTTTCACTGGAACAAAAGGTTTCTTTGCCAAAAGGCGAATTTGTTTCGATTGAAGAAATCTTATTCGATCCGAAGAAATCTTTTTCCCCCACGTAGATAATACATAGTATTTCAATTCCAAATAATGTAAATAGCACATAGTATGAGACGGAAGGATGAGAAATTAAGGCAGAAAGTTGATGCGTTTTTCCGGTTATAAAATAATACATTTCTTCCCCTATGTTTGATATTTTACTTCATCTCTTGTACATTTAACATTATTTTCTATATATTCCATTTCACACTCGTGCCGTTCTCTACGTTTACCGTGAGATACTTTCATACGTTATGCGACCGCTTGCTCGCTTTTGCCGGGATAGGCGTCTGAACATCCTACGACCTGCTGTAATCTCGGTGATCGCGTAATCCCCTGCTCGATCACCTGCCAATTGACACCGTGCCGGCTGAGTTCCGAGCGCGGAAAGTCGCGCAGGAACGCCCCGTTTTTGCCCGTTCCTCGCCTACCTCGGCGAGGAACACTCGCGAAATAACTTTCACATGGCCTTACCGTTATTTTGACGGAGCGCGAGCACGCGCACGACGTATTGATATATCTCTCTAGCGACCCGAGGAAAGGGCACGATGTTAATGACACATCCGCCTTTTCCTCGAATTCGGCATTGACATAGGTGCGCAAAGAGATAAGACACCCGTTTCTCCTTCCCTCTCTCTCACTCTCTTTTAGCGTATAGCAGATTGCCGGCAATTTAATTTACGGTTCACCGCTTCGCACTCGTCCGTTTTGCGTTATTTATGCCGCGCATTCGACGGGACGGATATAGGAGGGGAGGGGGAAGGGGGCTCTTTCCTCGTCGCGCGCGGTTGTCTCCGTTGATAAGCTTTCTCCCATAATTAAGCGCCTCGACGGGTTTCGTCATTTACGGATCACAAAGAGCTCCCCGATCCTCGTACCGACCTACTTTACCCTCGCGCTAACAATGAGAGCTCGCCGATCACGCGATTATCTCGATAACCGGTCTGCCGGAGACTTCATATTCGCACCGCGTCATCATTTCCGCGCGCGCGTCTCAACAAATTCACCCCGGCCGTGAATTTTCCAGACGCGTCGTTCGACGCGCGACGCATCGACGCGACGCTTGACTCCTGAACCTCGGCTTGACGCCTGACCCCGGGCGTTCCTCGCCTGATTTTCTCTCCCGCTTCGGAAGTATCGGTCGATTCGTGGTCAAGGTCACGCGCTGGCCGTTCGGACACTCGGCCGGAGTACGACGGCCTCGGAGTTGACCTACTGACAGATTTGGACGAGTGCCCGGCTTACCGCTGAAACGCACGATTCGTGCCGGCGCGGCCGGCGTTACGCATTCTACCGTGCGTGCGTAAGTATAGCCGATCGTGCGCCCTCGTGTGCGTATGTATGCATGCACACACACGTGCACGCGTGACCCACGCGGGACGGCCCGATCGCAGACCGTTATCGGCGCGTGAACGGCGAGAGGCGGACCGCCTCGTCGTCGACACATTTTAGGTCCCCGACGACGGTCGCGCCCGCTGAATCCGGCCCTCGTTCTTTTCCGATCCGCGATACTCGCTCTTCCCGATACACCCCACTCGGCCGTCCTCTACGGAGAATTAACTCTCGATTTCCCCTCCCACATTCCCGATGCCGGATACCTAAGTCACCTGCCGAAAAAGTATCGCGACGATTTCTAGACTGACCTTCTTATTACGGCGAACCGCCGGTATTTCCGTGTGGATTTTAAAGTTTCTTCCTTTTTTTTTATTATGTAAAGTGAGTCATGGAAGATGCGTGGAAGACGAAAGAGTCGTGAATGATTAATAAGAGTCGTAGAAAATTTGTTAAGACCGACCGGGGGTCGTTGATGTTTATTGCTGTAAAGGCTCAGACAAAATGAAAGGAATAAGGAACAAGGAATTAATTATAGGAATTATTTGTTTAGAAATAAGCTATAGTTTAAAGCGCAGTAAAAGGAACAGAGAATAAATTACGAGGACGTTTTAAAAGGAGAATTTCACTATTTTCTAATAAATCTCTGCTGTCATTATTAACAATTCTATCATTTTCTCGATAATTATCGATTGACCCAAACTAAATTTTACTTGTATATTCATAATTACATTGATTTACAAATTTTATATCGTAAATTGTATCCTTTTTGAATTTTAATTTTTTTCTGTTTATGTGTTGGAACAGAAAATGGCAATGAAAGAAATTATTTAGCGATAATTTAAGAAATATATAGGCTATATTTTAATTTTTCTAAATTAATAATATAAGTTAGTATAATGAAACAACATAACATATTTACATACTATAATACATTTACAGCACACATTTATATGCTATAATTTCTTATTTTTATGTTTCATACCGCCAGAAAAGTTAAAATTCTTTTTAAATCTTTTGGTTAAATGTTTCTTAAATATAACATTTAAATATCACGTTAGGCATTTTCTAACGGTCTCGAAGTAAAGAATATTACAACGAAAAATAGAAATTAGTTTTTATCTCAAAATACATGTCTCGTTCACAAATTCTTGCAAGCTGCCATATACATCACTTCAAAATAAAAAATTAACTTTAAAAGAGATGATTTTTAAGACATCTCCCTTTTTCCACACTACAAAAGTCTCAAATATTAAATTCCCATTTAATTGTTGTTTAATATATAATAGAAATTCAAGTTAAATTTTAATATTAATTGTTATATCTACGATCAGAATCACAAAATTAACTAGAATTGACGGATCAGATCTACGATACAATATTTGTGTTAACCAGTGTTATTAAAAGTTTGAAAAGTTAACTATCAGTCAACTTCTGGACACAATAAGCGCATAAGTTACAAGAAATAGAATCTCGACAGTGTTCTCAATTCTACTTTCTCATGCCTTCATTGTAGATCAAAGCATAATTGTCCATATGTCGAGATTTAATTCCCTGTTCCCAATCCCCTATATTTAATTCCTTGTTCTTCATTCCTTTCATTGTATCTGCACGGGGGGCAAAATAATTTGCTGGCAAAACAAATTTTATGTTGTCGCAGCAATATCTGTCAGCTATTATGTGCATGGGAAAAAAATATTTTGTTGGCATAGCAAATTGTTAGTTACTATAGAGGCAGCAAAAAAATTTATTTGGACATTAAAAAAATTTGTTTGGACAGCAAAAAGATTTATTAAGAGGATTAATTGTTGTTTGTTGGACATATAGACAACAAAATAATTTGGTGATATCAATTAAATTTTACCTCCGTCACAACAACGGTTGCGCTACAACAGCAAAATTATTTTCTCCATGTAGCAAATCTTTTTGTTGTCTCTATAGTAACTAACAATTCTCTGTGCCAGCAAAATTATTCTTTTCTATGTGAATAGCAAAACGATTTGTTAAGAATATTAATTGCCGCTCGCTCGATTATTTTGTTGAATCTACAAATTATATATTTTGCTGTAAAAACAAATTAACAAATATAGAAAAGCATTATTTTGTCCTAATAGCAAATCAGCTTGTCTTAAGGTCCAAATACACTCGGTAGAATATTTTCTATCCCGCCAATAAAACTTTCTGCTCTAATTACGAATAATTTGCTAATTCGCTTATATCAACTAAATTTGATTGCTGTCGCAATGAATACTTTCGTTACAGAGCAAAATTATTTTTCTCTGTGTGTGAGTCATATATATATATATATATATATATACATATTTATTAATTAATTAATTAATTCTCTGTGTGTGAGTCCTATATGTATATATACGAGTTATCGAGGCATGCGCGCCAAGGTGGGAATTCGTAGAGTCGACCCGCGCGTCCGACACCCCGCCGGCGAACGAAGGACTGATAACAACATTGGTGAGCAAGGGACTAATGATCCGGTCCGGAGTCCGTGAAATGGCAGGGGACGCGAATCGGAAGCGACACATCGCTACGTGAACGCCATCGATACGTAGCGTGCGTACGTCCGCGGCAACTCGACCGTTACATTCTTACGTTATATGCGAGCGAAAAAAGTTGCATTAACGTAACGGACCGTCGTCTATGTCACGGCGCTCGACTGGCTGTCTGTGTGTGTGTCTGCCTGCGTCGAACTCGTCCACCACGTATCGATTCATACGGCCTCTTGATTTACGCGCGCTTATCACGCGACGCGTGCGCGTGCGCGACGTTACGTTGTAGGCCGTAGGTGTTCCTCGTTATATGATAAATGAGGAGTTTGGCGCGACAGGAAAGGGGAGAAACACCGTGTCTCATTCTCGCAAGGACGATGTAATTGCAGGTCTGCTTCGAACGGGCCTTATCGGCTTTTTCTTCATCTTCCTTTGAGAGAAAAGCGTTTTTACTCGCGGAAATCGAGACGTTCCAGCTGCGACA